TTGCTGCAGCTTGCCACGTACTGGGGAAAGAGAAACCACCACAGGTTTGTGCCTGGTGAGTTCTGTCAGTGATCCATGAACCCAGACATGCACACTTTACAAGATCCATCATTTCCTGTGCGGGATTAGAGCAAAGCCTCAAGGATGTGGTTTAGTGGGGCACTGGTGGTAGGCGGGCAGCTGGACTGGATCATCTTGGAGAATTTTTCCAACCTCAGTCATTCTCTGAAACTAGATTTCCAATGCTCCTCCAACCCAAGTGCTCGACAGCAACTGCTCACCCACGATAGATGCATCTCCCGCCTCTTCCCCCTCATTTTCCCAGCCCACTCTCCCTACCTGGCCGTTGCTATCAGCTTGAGCTCCAATGTACTGCATCAGCTTACTGAAGACCTGGTTGGGAACGGTGAGGAGGGAGGTCCCCGTATCAACGATCCCCTGGCAGCCCTGGCTGCACCAGCCACCGTTCTGCCCACCAACAGTGAAGCTACGAGTAGAGAAAACAGGCAGCTCATGAAACTCCCTGCTGCTGCAGAAGGAACACAGGGACACGGTATGAGGAATGTTCTCTACAGTTATACATCAGCATTGTCAAGAATAGCCCTCAGAGCCCAGAAAGCCTGAGATTTGAGATCCCTGAAGCCACCAGAGGTGACAGAAAGATTCCTCCTATGGCCGCAGATCTAAGAACAACCAGAGCTGGTGTGGAGGAAGCCGGAGAAAGCGACACTTTACTCTTCGATCCCGATCTGCCAGTAGGTGGTCTGGATGACAGGAGTCCAGAAGATCTGCCCCGTGTACAGGTTGGGGTTGACGCCGCCGAGGATGAGCTCGCCACCTTGGCTGCCCTCCTGCCTGCGGGAAGAAGACACAAGTGATAGAATCATAGAATCATGGAGTGTCGGAGTTGGAACGGACCTCTAAAGGCCATCCGGTCCCGCGGCCTGCAGTGCACAGGGACACCCACAGCTCCATCAGTGCTCACAGCCCCATCCCTGCCCCTGGGGGATCTCTGGGGATGGGACATCACCACGGGCAGCCCATGCAGCGCCTCACCGCCCTGACTGCGGAAGACTTTGTTCTTATAGCCAACCTAAACCTCCCCTCTTTCAGTTTGAAACCATTTCCCCTCATCCTATCACACAGACCCTGCTATAGAGTCTGACCTCTCCTTCTTACAGCCCCTTTAGATACGGAAGGTCACACTCATGGGTATCAGTAGAGATCAACAGCTACCAGTACCAGCCAGCATGCCAGTAAGTAGAAGGAGTTGGGCAAACAGGAGAGGAGGAAGGAAGCATCAGCTGACAGGCTCTCATGAAGGTTTAAACAAGAAAAATAACAGAATATCCTTGGGAAGCACAAAGGCAGCACAAGGTGAAAGGAAGAACAGGAGCATCCCTACCCACTCAGGTAGAAGCTGAAGATGGGGGAGTCCAGCAGGTTTTCCTGCAGCATTTTCTGCATCACAGTGGTGGCTCCACCAGCAGAGATGGCAGGGAAGGCCAACCCCAGGATGCCATCGAAGGGAGAGTACAGAAAGTTGGTGCCAGGCTCCGTCTCGCTCAGGCCAAACTCCTGGTTTGTGACGGAGATGCCCTGGATCTAGGGATGAGGAAAAGAGGCAGAGCTGCTCTGAGAGCACAGCATGGAGCACTGTGACCCACAGGCACAGTAGGCCAAGCAGAGGGGCTCCATCCTGCAGCTGTAAGTGTACATCAGAACAGGGGACTGAGTTAGAGCCAAGAACAAAGTTCCCCTGATTTGCTCCTAAGGGAACACCCCCAGCCTCCAGAAGTGATCAGCCCATGTTTTTCCAACTGCGTATCCTCGGCTCAAGGCTGCAGGGCAAAGTTGGGGCACCCCTCACTCCCCCCATCTGCAGTGTCACTCACTGTCACTGTGTCGAAGCCGAAGATGCCGGTGAGGCTGCCGGATCCGTACTGCAGGGAGAAGAACTCATTCTGAGTTGAAAATGTGGAGGACTCATTGGGGTTGAACTCGTTGTGGTTGGCTAGATTGGAAAAACAAAGCAGAAGAGTAATCGTTCCATCCAGGGGTGCTCAACCAGAGGCTGAGTGGCAAGAGAGGTTCAGGGCAAGCAACAGGGACCTGCAATCAAAGCACACACGTGGGCTGCTTTTGATAAAACAGGTGGTAATCATTGCTTGTGGTAAATAAAACAGTGGCAGCCAGAAGTCCCCCTGCTGCCCAGGACCCCCCTTCCTCCCCAGGTGCTCACCGCAGGCCTGGCTCTGGCAGAGTGTGGAGGGCACCCACAGGTTGGAGGAGCCGGTGTCGAAGAGCACCAGGAAGTTCTGCGGGGGGGTCCCGATGCTGATCTCCCCATAATAGGACATCTGGAGGAAAGGGAAAAATTTTTACCCCGTGCAACTCCTCAGGCATGCATGCTAAATCTCAGCCCATGAAGCCACAGGACCGCAGGTTTCCTGGGGCTGCAGGGTTTGCCAGATTCCTGCTGTCTGTTTCCAACAGCGCTGTGCACTGTGCCCTGAACACGGCCTTGCTCTCTGCTGCTTCTCCCACCAGTGCAGGCACGGCACAGCAGCTGTGTTTACAAGCAGCACAGAGGCACGCGGACCCTTCCTGCAGTGCCACTGTCAGTGTATTTCCAAAACAGAGTCCACAGCTGAGCAGCTCCATCAGCACTCACACAAATACCCCTCTTTTCCTGCACGACCACGAGAACAGCTCCTGAAATGAACCTGGTTCAAGGTCTTACACTGAACTTCCCAGACTTCTCTATTCACGTCTCCTTTTCCCCCCGCTGTCCCCAAGGGATGGATACTCACATCCATGCTGTTTGCCAGGGGCTCATAGGCAGTGGCAAAGTTGCTGAAGAACTTGTAGGCAGGGTCATAGTAGCGGTGATTGGCCAGGTAGTCGTGGAGCACGCCGCTCTCCTTCATCGCCTCCCTGATGGACTTGCCCTTCTTCAGAGGAACCCTGCAGGCAACGAGCAGCAGCCATCAGCTCAGTGTGACAGGAAGCAAGTTTCCATCACACTCCCTCATTTTTGCTCTCCGTTGGTCTTTTTTCCCTCCCTCCCTGCCCTGCTTGATGCTCACCTGCATGCAGGCCCCAGTTAAAACCCAGTGCTCCCAGTGCACGTTTCACATTGCCGCCCTCCCGACTTGCCACTATCCCAGGGGCAGCCAAACCCTCCCTGCTCACCGCAGCAGCCCCTCACAGAGGTGCAGGCACAGCACAGTGAGGATCAGCCACTTCATGGTGAGCTGCTCTCGCAGGCCGTTCCAGTAGACCTCCAGAACTCTACCTGCACCCTTATATACCCCACCATGGCCCCTATTGCCTCCACCAGTGCCATGCACGCAGCCAAGGGTTATCACTGCAGCCCAAAAATTCCCCCGCGGTGCTAAGGAATATCTTGGAAACTCTAAAGTCAAATATCAGCAGCAAACACCCATCTGTTTGCAAGCTATTCCTTGAAAGAAAAAGAAACAGCCGATAAGAGCGACCCTGTAAAATTAAGCAAAAGTCCTAAGAGTCGAGTTTGCTGCTGCCCAACTTCTTTTTGACTTGATAGGGTTATCAAAGACTCCCTTGAAAGAAGGGGAAAAGATTTCATTGTGTTTTCCAGGAATACGATGGAAAGAATAACACGGGTTATCAAGAGCTCTGTTATCTCCCATTTCCATTCCAGTTCTTACCTCTTGCATTTTTGAAAGTCCCAGAATGACCCTGGGGGAAGGAAACACAAGGGCTTGGGTTGGAAAGACACCACACGCCAAGGCACGCTCCCTTTGGAAGGTGCAGATGGCTCCATTGGCTGCTCTGAGATGCTCTGCTGCTGGGAAGGGCTGTCAGGAGGGACTTTCAAAAGGCAAAGCATTAAACTGCCCCTGTGCACAGTGAGATCATAGCAGCTGGAAAAGCAGGCAGATCCACTCCATACAGAGCGATGGCAGAATCCATGGGATGGGCCAACAGGGTTTGTGCCCTAAGAGATCTCATAGAAGGGCCAGTGGTTCAGAAACTCAGCTGCCACGTTTACCTCTCCCTCCTTCAGAGGTGCAGGGGCTCAAGGAAAAGGAACACAGCCACGCAGAGCTGTTGGCACCATTGGTTCTCTCCTCCTCAGCTGCACAATTTAGGAACACACTCCATGACAAACATTGCATGTTCTGCCTTACTATCAGAAGTACAAAATAACTTTCAGCTCAAATGTAATCTTATCATTGAGGTCTGGCTTCACCCCTTGGCCAGAACAAGAGGAACAGAAACAATGGGATTGACCGGGGACGCCAAGGGACAACATTTCCATATGGACTGGATTGGCTTTTTATGGAACCTATATCTCACCTTCAGAGTCCGTAAGGACGAGACAACGGACCCAGTGTCTGCTCATGGTAGAGGTGCACAATTTACTGCCACCTGCAAAAAAACCCAACTGTGCCCTAGAAAAGAGGCTGGCTGCTGGTGGCGCCATCTCCAGGGACAGCTCATAGGTAATTCCCCCCTCTGAACCGTGACCATGTTCAATAATTGCCACTTTGTCTTTCTTCTTTCCTGAAGGCTCAAGATCATCTGTATTTAAAAAACAGCAAACTCAGAGCATCTTCAAATTAGAGTTTGTAATACCTAATGCTCGTGGGTCCTTGTTTGTTTGCAGTAAGAGAAAGGAGCAGGGTACAACTCAGAACAGCAGGTTTGGCAGCAGTAGCAGAGGTTACTTAGGAGTTATGCACAGCTGGTAAGATGTGCAAACCACCCAAATTCAGGAGAAAGCTGAAGATCCTCAAGGTCAAAGCAGCCTGATGCAATGTGCCCAGCACAAGGAGACTGCGTGGGGGAAGGCAGCAAGCACTGCTCCAGTGGCACACGAGGCCCACAGGGAAGTCCAGCTTCACACCATCCCACGCCCCTCCCCTGAGCCTTTAATTTTAGATAAAAAGCAAAGCCTACTTGGAACTGCGTCACTTCTCCTCCCCGCAACACACAAAGGAAGACACAAGCCCTGTATCGTCACCATATTCCATTTATTCAGTATACACTCGTAGTGCGCGTTAACAAGACACGAGCTCCTCAGTCACACAGCACTACTGTTCTTCACCTGCGAGGTTACACCTGCGTGAAACACAGAGGCTGACTGACACCACGAGGCAGCCTGCAGAAGCGCGATGCAGGGAGGGCGGCCCCCTGGGCACGGCAGCCCCATCCCCAGCGGTCACGGCCCCGAAGCACCGCCGCTTTTCTGCCGTGTCAGAAATGCTCAGAGGCAGCAGGACGAGTCGCAGAGAGGGGAAGCTCAGAGGAGAGCTCGAGAGAACGCAGATGCACCTGGGCCTCCCGACTTCATAATCACATCCAGCGATGGAAGAAAAACAAATGAGTTCCTTCTTGAGAATTTGCTTTTCTCTACGCCTCGGCCTGTGGCTGCCAACTTCAAAGCTCTCCAGACTTCCCCTAATGTATTCACCTTTGGTCCTGTTTGGGAACGGGAACCTAAACCTGTTCTGCTGCCTGAGCACGGCGCTTCAGGAGGAGCCAGGCTGCGGGGGAAGTCAAGCTTCAGCCCCCCAAGCTGAGTTTGGGCCTCAGGGTCCCTTCCAGCCCAAGCCATTTTACGATTCTATATGAGGCAATGCATTCATTAACAACCGCTCGTTAATGACGCTTCACAGTTGAGATACAACCCGAGAAGGGCTAAGCAGCACAACACGGAGGGACAGAAGAACGACTTTGAGAGCAAACAGCTGAGAACGTACAGAAGTGGTGCTGAGCCCTGACAGAGAGCTCCCACTCGTATCTCAAGAGCATCGCACCAACGCTTTGGCGCCTCTTCCCCCATTTTGCCACAGTGACACTGAGGCACAGAGAAAGGACACCCAGCACCCATAGGCACAGAGCAGAACGAGAGCTGGGAACACTGCTGGGATGGGGCTCTGGGGCTTGGAGGGATGCAACCAGAAACACGGACAGCAGGAGCAGAAGCTGGGTTTGGGCTTCCTCACAGCAACCAGCATGGCTTGGGTAAGAAAAACAACACATAGTGCTTCGGTAACATCTGGGACATTCAAAGCTCTTTGCAAAAATATTGATCTTTTAATCCTCAGCCTCTCCTTTGCCACACTCTCTCTGTAAGGCAAAAACAGCTCACAAATAACCAAGCGCCTTCCCTAGGGGGAAAAGCAGGCACATTAAATGGGTTAGAATTAAAAAAAAAAAAAAGATAAACCCTCCCATGATAAAAGACAGCTGAGAGCCACGAGAAGCTGTTCCTACCGACCGAGCCTGGGGAGAGGGATGGGCAGAAGATCTGGGGTATGCAGTCCCCAGGGAAGAAATATCAGGGGAGAAATCTGCTCGGTTCACTCAAAACTCAAACAGGAACCACTCAGCCCTGGGTGAATCCCTCAATCTCTAAACCACAGAAGTGTTTATGGACGCAAGCACCGATTCTAGGCATGCTGCCCTGGGGAGGCCGTCCTTGCAGCACGGCTGGACCACGGGATGCTCATCAGCTGCCCCGGGTGAAGTTTCCCATCCAGCAGGCACTCACACACCTATCAGTGTGCACTCATTGAGAAAGCCCAGCAAACTTGCATATAAGGCTCAAAGCAAGATCTGCCAGACCCACCTCTGCAAAGTGCTGCACAGGTACAACATAATTCATACAGGTGATTTTTAACCGAAAGAAACGAGTGAGAAGGAAGGAGCCCGCAGGGTTCTGAGGAGGGCTCTGTGCCGCCCACCACGCACATCCCAGGACGGAAGGAACGAGACAGAACCAACCCGCACCTCAACCTCCCGCTGGTTTCTCCTCCTGCAGCTGCTGCAGCTCTGACCACTAGAGGAAGCTGCGACACTGGAGAGCCGGTGGAAACGTTGGGGCGAGAGCCCAGACAGGGACATTGCCGGAGCCGTGTTCAAACTGCTCGGGTCTGTTCCTGCACTTTGCAAAACAGGGGGTTAAGAAGGTAAGAGAGAGTCCCGGTTATTTAAAGAGGACGTTGTGAAGTTTCTCACAAAAGCAAGAAAAACAGAGAAAATCATTTGTGAGCCTGCAGCTCCCAGCTCGTGGTCAGGGCTGCATGCTGAGGGGCACAGAGCAGCAAGGGTGGATGCTCTCAGAGCAGCAAGTGCAGCAGCAGCAGACGTCAGCTCTTCCTTAAAAACAAGACAAGGGAGTTATTTTTCTCCTTTGGACAGGCACAGCAATGCAGGGAATGCTGTAATGCAGCCCCTGTGTGCGTGCCCTCCTCACCTCTCCTGCTTTTGATATCCCAGCGAGGTTTGGGGGCTCCAAAGTTGCTGGGGGAGGAAAGGAAGGCCCAGAGCAGCTGTGAGCCGTATTTTGGAGCACACGTGTCTCAGAGCCCAGCAGCACACCCCTTATTGCACCAATCCACAGCCTGTCATCTTGCTCCACAGAAGTCTAAAATGTTCATCCTTTGTCACTTGTCTGGTAGGAGCACTTGGCATAGCATTTCTCACTGGGCTGTGATGCTGCAAATGCAGGTTCCTACTGGAACCCGGCTCCTGCTGGTGCTGCTGGAGCCACGGCAGGGGATGAACTTACAGAGCAAGAGCTCTGTACTTACACAGTTTTGTTAAAGCTTTATACAGTTCACTTTTTTTTTTTTTTTTTTAATGTATACATAAACAATTTCTTCTCTCGCTTCTCCAAATGAAAGTTAGAGAGAGATTTTAGGGGGATGCCCATTTTCCTTCAAAGAAAGTCATTTGGCATAATACAAAAACATATCCCTTGAGTTTCCTTTCTGTTACAAATCACATAAAAGTTGGCACAAAGTAAAGAATGGACAAGAAGAACTTCCCCAAAAAGGGAACAGTCACTGAATTTAAGCATATGGGGCACTTTGGATTCATAGTGCAACAAACAGCAAGTTGAGGATCTGCAGACACAGGTATGGCTCTGTGCACACTTCTGCTGCTTTTCCAGCTGCGTGGCACTGCCCTTCCTCACAAAAGTGCCACCTTTCAGTACAACATCAGGGCAGCACTTAGAAAAGCATCAAAAACTATGGAAATGGGGTCTGTGCAGCTCCAAAGCAGGCGATGACTGCGTGCTGTCCTCCTTCACAGCAGCTGCTCACCGACCTCCATGCTGGAAGGAGGAGGGCACAGCCGAGATGGGCAGTGGGACAACCTGCTGGGTGCTGGGCCTCTCCGCTCACATCACAGGGAGAACAGAAAGCAGAAAGGTGGGACTCCAAAGCGACTCCGGAGCACTTCTGTCTCCCAGATACGGCCCAAGGAGGCAAAAAGTAATGCGGGTGAAGCTGCAGCATGTCACCACGCAGAGGGGTGTGGAGGCATGCCCTGCACCAGCAGAGAGCCGACACAGGGCCTCACGTGGAGGCCTGACAGCTCAGCTTCAGCGTCAACAGAAAACTCCACATCAAAGGCCACACATTTACGGAAATTTAGCCCTTCCCAAGTCTGTAGCTGTAGGAAACAAATGACACATTCGCTCTAAACAGGATCAAATATTTCTCATGGACCTGGCCAGGAACGTGGGTGCAGGCAACCACTTTGATAGCGCTCCAAGCCCGGCCACCTCACACCCACCCACCCTCTCTGCAACAGCAAATCCCAGTTAAAAAACACTGAATCACAGCTGCTCTTTTCACTGACGGCAGCCCTACAACGCCAGCAGCTCTGCTCAGGCAGAGGGCACATGAGCACATGTGTCGCGCTGGCACCACTTTTGGCCATCTCCACCGGGATGCAAAAAGAACATTTAATAAATAAATCAGTAAACAAATCAACAGTGTTTCTGAACAGCCCCCTCCCAGAAATCAAAACTGGGTACAGTACAATTGAAGGCTTCTATACCCAACCTACAGCCCCTCACACTTGCAGTCTGCCCCTCCACTTTATAAGCAAAGTATCTTCGGGATATGAGGTTTCTGTGATCACAGTGTTTGTGTCCATGGCTGTCTGTCCTCTTCTATTAGTTTCTAGAGCTGCCCAATCTAAATCGAATCTAAGAAAGGGACAGAAGTATGGGAAGCTTCTACGAGCTTCAAAAAAATAGTGCAGAAGAAGAAAGGAGCAAATTGAGGAGGGAAAGACTGCAGCATGAGCTCCCATGTCATGAGGGACCAGAGAAATCACAAGGCAAAAACTGACTCTGGGGCAGTGAGATGCAGTCAGGTCTCCCCAGAGAAGATCCCAGGCTGCCAGCACTGCTCACGGAGCAGCAGGAATCCAGGAGGGCCAGCCCTGTTGGAGGTGGTATCCATGCAGTGCCAGCGCTACCGTGGGCACCCTCTGCCCCCCTTGCCAGAAAGACAGTGGAACTTCCAGATGGTGTCTTTAAACACCCCATAAGGCTTTATAAAACAAACTGCACAGGAGATGGAGAGGGGAGGACAGACAGATAGAGCAGCATGAACACCAGCTGTAGGAGCCATCCCATAACACCAGGCAATGGGGCAAACGGGGAAGCAGAAGGCAATGGTGGATGGAAGCCACACCGGGCAACACGCTGAAGGGTGGGTACCAAAGCACAGCGCAGTGCTCGCACCGGGTGCCCTTACAGAGGCAGGTCGGTGCTGTTGTGTCGAGTTTTCCGTGAGGTCCCATCGTCCCTGGGCCGGGCCCGCTGCAGATTGGACATGGCTGCTGTCTTTTTGAGGTCAATCACCGCGTAGGAATCCGTCCGGGGCACTTCGTGGGAGGCAGCCGGGCGGGCGCGGGAGGCCGGGGCGTTGGGCCGGCCCTTGTGAGGCTCAGCCTCCAGCTCCACCTGGATGTAGTTGAGCTGCCGCGGCTGCTCCAGCCGGGGCCGGGGGAAGTCAAAGCTGAAGACGCTGGGCACGCAGCCGCGCTGGGGTTTGGGCAGGAAGGCACCGCGCCGCAGGCTGCTGCCCCCGTGCAGCGCGGTGCTCTCTGAGTTCACGTAGTTCTGCAGCGGATCCTCTTCTCCAGCCTCGGGACAGCTGTCGGGAGAAGGCGTCAGGGCGTCCCCAGCGTCCTCCTCGCCCCGGCGGAGCGGCTGGCACTCCCACACCGGGGGCAGCGCCGGCAAGTTCTCGTAGTGCAGCAATGCAGCTCTCCGATGGGAGCAGCCGGACGAGCCCTTGTCCTCGTGGGGGACCTTCACGCGCCCGGCCCGGCAGAGGGACGAGGTGCCAGGGGGCAGCAAGCCATTGAGATTCTCGTAGACGCACTGGGGCGCAGGGCACTCATCCTCGCGCTCGTTGTTGTTGCTGGGAGCACAGAAGTGCGTCCTGCACTCCCGGTGGTGCCGACTGATGCGCCTGTAGTTGGGCGCGGGACCCAACACAAACTTCACCTCCCCGGGCTGCAGGAAGACCTGGGGATTGCGGTCTTCGAGGGAGCAGCTGCGTTTCCTATGGGGGAAAGGAGGGTGGACTTCAGGCAAGGAGTGCATACAATGTTGGCCCCTCAGCTCCTGATCACCACTGGCTGTGTTCACGTAGGTGTGGGACTGCAAGGAGAGAAGCAGAGGGACAGTGAAAGGAGAAGCAGGAGCAAAGCAGCTGTCGGCAGCTGAGAAACCAACAGGAAAGACTGATGAAGCCGGAGATGAAAGAGTTTCAGAAGTTGAAAAGGTTTTGGGAAGCAAAACTCAAAAGACATTTCTGGATTTGTGGGCTGATGGAGGAGGAAAAAAAAAAAGAAAAAGGAGTCCAACTGCAGAAGGAACAGATAATCTATCTCACATTTGATGCATATGGCACAGAACAAAAACCAAAGCCACCTGCAAAGTATTTTCTTGAGCTCCTTATACTTGATGCATTGCAGCGCTCACACCCGCACAGGCTTGCCTGACAATGGGTGAGATAAGATGGATTATGTCAGGAAAACCTCAATTCTACAACTGAGAACAAAGAGCTGAACATCAAAAATAAAAATAAAAGGAGTCTGAATTTGGCTATGCATCTGCAGATCAGATTAGGGGATGCAATAGCAGCTGATAAGGCAATATGACAGACTCGCAGCTAAGCACCACTGTCAAAGAAATTCAAGAGAATGCTACAGGATCACAGCATCACAGGATGGTTGGTTAGAAGGGTCCCTAAAGACCCCCTGCTGTAGGCTGGGTGCCCCCATCAATCAGGATGCTCAGGGTCCCACCCAGCCTGGCCCTGCCCGCCTCCATGGAGGGGGCACCCACAGCCCTCTGGGCAGCAGTGCCACTGCTTCAGCGTTCTCTGAGCAAAGAATTTCCCCCAGCAGCTAATTTGTATTTCACCTCTTCCAGTTTAAAACTGTTCTCCTTTGTCCTGTCACTGTCTGCCACATAGAAGGTCAGTCCCCCTACTGTTCATAATCTCCCCTTAAGTACTGGAAGGCCCAAAACCTTCTCTTCTCCAGGCTGAACAAGCCCAGCTCCCTCAACCTTTCTTCACAGCAGAGGTGCTCCAGACCCTGAGCATCTCCACGGCCCTCCCCCAGCAGCCCCATGTCTTTCTTGTGCCAGGAGCCCCAGGCCTGGACACAGTACTCCAGATGGAGCCTCACGAGGGCAAAGCAGAGGGGGAAAACCCCTTCCTCTCCCTGCTGCCACCCCTCTGTTTGATGCAGCCCAAGAGCAGCTGGCCTTCAGGCAGCAAGTGCACACTGCTGGCTCGTGTGCAGCTTTTTGTCCATCAGGACCTTCAGGTTCTTCTCCACAAGGCTGCTCTCAAAGCATTCTTCTCCCAGGCTGTACTCATATCTGGGACTGCCCCAACCCAGGTGCAACACCTTGCACTCGGCCTTGTTAGACTTCATTAGGTTCATGCGGGCCCACTTCTAAAGCTTGTCCAGGTCCCTCCTCATGGCCCCCTTCCCCCTGTCACATTAACTGCACCACCCAGGGATCAAGGAAACCAAATCACTCCACCTAAATAGAGTGCCTGTTTTAGGGAAGCATCAGAGCTGAAGTCCCCAAGACCAAAATGAAGCAAAGAGAAGAGTGGCAAAGGTACAAGGATCGCCTGAGCTTTGCTGGAGTAAGAGAAACCTTGAATTGCACGGAGCTGCTAGCAAACCAAACTTGTTCATTGCTTGGAAACAGGAGAATTGAGGACATTTGTGTTTACCTGATCGTCAGGCCCAATGAGGGCATGAGTGGAGTCTTCACCCACAGAGGAATGCCTCAGGCTGCTCATGGAGGGGTGGCGGGCTGCCAGGTATGACAGGCTTTCTCCAGGGAAACTGTGGAATCCATTGGCAAATCCTGGGACGCTGTACCCCAGACCTGGGAGAGAATTACAACACAGCATTGGTCCGGTGCAAAAAACAGCAGACTGCATTTCCACAGTGAGCTGGTCCCCAAACTGCACCCTGCAAGTCAGAATCAGCTTGTCTGGAGAAGATTCCTATCACAAAGTGCCTCATATAAATACAAGGGCTAGGCCCTCCTGTTTACATTTATTTGACTCCTAATGGAGGCAGGAATTGAGCAAACCTGAATTCTTCCAGACGTGGTTTCCTTTGGGAACCACCTGACCCCTGTAGGTGCCGCTTTAAAAGGCCTTTTGGCAGAGCTCCAGCTGAACACGGCTGAAGGGTGACAACACAGCTGACTACTGAAGGGCTTTTTTGTTGCTGTTGCCTTGGAAACAAAATACCACACTGCAGACAAGTGGGGCCTTAAAATAAACACGCTGTGCGGGGCTCACGCAGGCATAAAGGCACAGGTCAGCAGCAAGGCAGCATTCGGGAAATATCCGTGGCCTGCGAAGGGCAGTTTTACACGAGCAGCAGCAGGCATTGCCACACGGGCTGAGGGAAACTTACTGGTGGGGGCCTGGGGGGTGCGGGAGCGCTCCCTCTCTGTAGGGTGACTGTTCCTGGTGATGACAACAGGCTCCTCCACAACGTTGATGCTGTTACACTGCATCAGGTCCTGGAGCAGATTGAAGATCTCCTCCGCTCTGGAACATTTGAAGGCAAAAATCCCTGCAGGGTAACGAGGAGGAGGATCAGAAAAGCAAGAAAGCAATTCTGGCTTTAACAAGGGGATATGTAATTCTGGGCTGTAAATGAACTGGCAGTTTTGATTTCTTTTATTGTGTTTAACATAATCAACCCCTGAAACTCACAGCCACATGAGAACAACTAACATCTGAGTGGATTATTGCATCAACATCACCACGCAGTGCCAAGACTGCCATCTGGCCCAGCAGTGCACCGCTGTAAAAACAGAGCACCCCAATTATCTTCTGACACTCAGTGCCGGACGAGCAGAGGTGTGAAAGATACAAGCAAACCGGTTTTGTTTCGTCTCTAATCTTCTATTTCAGCTCCCCTGGCACAGCACCCAGCTCTCACTGCCAGGGGAAAGGCTTTCCAGGGACTGGTGGGAGCTGAACTAGGCCCCGTGGGGTTTCTAGGCGAGGAGGAACAGGAGTGTCCTACTTCAGAAATGCATCGAGTTGAGCAGCGTCTCTCCAAGCAAGCAGCCCAAACCAGAGCTGATATGCGCAGAGCTGAGCAATCCCACACTGCAGCGCACGCACACACACACACACACACACACACACACACAAACACACACAAACACGTCCACAAAAGCCATAGCAACGAGGATGGCATGGCAACAACAGTTGCTACTCCAAAAAATAACATTCAAAACATTCCGACCAAAACACAGCTAGATCTGCCTCGTCTAAGGTAGCATCAGGAAGGAATCCTCCAAATGAAATTAACTGAGAAGAAAAAAATCCCACAAGGAAGGGAGAAAACCCCTCACAGCAGTGTCACCCCACTGGCTTCTGTCTGTGTTATGACTGGCCAGCACGTGCCTGCAAAACGTGTTTAACACACAAGGAGCAAACAGCTCTGCTTTATCCATCACCCCTGCCTGGGCCTAAATAAAAAGCAAAACACATTCACAGCAGAATTCTAATCCCTAACCCTGCATAAGGCAAGGCAGACAACCTATTCTCACTGCTGAAACACAATTCCAGAAGAGGAAAAGCCCAGATATTAAGAAGGATCATGTGGCACTACAGAGCAGCCCTTCACACAGACACAGTCGTGAAGAGTCCCTGTGGATGAGGAGGAGTCTACAAACACATCAACAGAATGAGGTAACAAACTCCTCCCGCTCCTGGGATGCACACACCAAGAAAGTGCTCAGCTAAAAGAGAGGCAGACTGGGAGGGGAGCTAACAGGCACCGTAGTAAAACCATTCCCAGTGCTGCTGACGACTTGGCACAGACCCCTGGGTGACTCACTTCCCTCTTCTGTGCACAGCATCCCCGTGCATAAAAATCAGTACAACACAAAACTCTTTTTCCTTTGCATTACAAAGTGCTGCCAGGCACAGAATAGAACGTGTGAAGCAGAAATAACACCAACCAGGCAGAGAGAATGCGCTGCAAAAACAAATCATGTTTAAGCCACTGCTGCTACTGATGTACGTTTGAAAGCTCTGAGGAATAACCAAATCTGAAGAGGGGTCTGGGAAAAGGCGCAGCTGATGTCCTTTCATTCATTCCCAGAGTTAAGGGAGGCTGAACAAAGCTCTAGTCCTGCAGCAGGCGCTTCCTAGCCGCCCATGAAACACAGCTGTGGGCTGCTCAGCGCCTGCTACCAAGCCTGGAGCTGGGCTGTAAGCAGCACTCTGACATTAAATATGTTCCATCTGTTGGAAACTTCAGCTCAAGCATGGCTCATCAATTAACCTCCCAAGTGCCCAGGCACTAGCAAAATGAGACCGCTAGGCTCTGAGCCACAACAGCACTCTCATTAGCGTTTTAATTGAGATTATCAACTGCATGTGCATGCACACGGTGTTCAGGGGGCACCAGAGGCTGCACGAACAATCATTGGTTCATCAGATGCAGAAATGTGGGAAGCCACAAGCAGCAGCTCACTTCTGGGAGCAGAACCCCCAGGAAGCAGCCAGCACTCACCCTGCCCTGTGTGGCAGCGACGGCCGCTCTCGAAGGAGAAGAGGTTGGAGTCGTAGCCGTAGCGGCGCAGGCAGAGGTAGGGCCACCTGACTGCATCTCTCTTGTGAGTGTGCAAGATGAGCTCTGTCTGCGTCAGCTCCATCAGCCCAGCTCCCAGCTCGTTTCCTTCATCGTCCACATTCGTTACCTGCAGAAGCCACGCGGCTCGCACCAGGAAGCTCAGTGCGTTTGGGAAGGGGGAAAAAAAAAGCCCTCCCACAAAGATCTGGTAATTCCCATGGATTTCCCCTTCGTTTCCTGAGATGCCTTTTTCTCAGCTGAGAATTCACTGCTGGCAGAAAGCGCAGAGCCGGCAGGCCTGGAGGCTTCGTGCTCAGCAGTTCAGCTGATGTGTCTCAGCACAGACACTGGAACACAGCCCTGAGCAATAAAAGGTTTCTCTCCAGTTCTCCATTTCCTTGCTCAGGCTGAATCTCAGCATAGAGGAAATTTCTACTGCAAATACAGAAATATCTGCAGCAGAGGGTACTTAATTAAAAACAAAACAAACAACAAAAAAACCCAGCAACATATTTGCAAATCTTATCAAGTGAAAGACTTATCTGCAAGAGCAGCTCTTCTTTGCTTTCATGCCTAGAGCCTGACCCACGCTGGGCTTTGCTGGCAGTGAATGTTGCCACAGATTCTATAATGGGGATAAAGTCCAGTACTGACCTTAAATTTGGTGGGGTGGTTGTCTGGGATGTTGTCTCCACACAGACAACTGCAGCAGCTCCCCATGATGCCAGCAGGAGAGGTAATCCCTGGGGAAAGGACACAGAACAGAGAGCAATCAAATTTTCAGACCAGCTCCTCCCAGTCCCTGCCAGTGTGCAGCATTTACAGCCCATACCCTCCTGGGTGCCCTGCATGCAGCTCAGCATGTTTGGAACTCAGATGTTTTTGGCCTCACAACGCCTTCCCCAGTGAATGGACTCTGTGCAATGTAAGCCTAATTAAAAACAACAGCTTTCTTACCATTAGGCAACTGGTTGTTTGGGTTTTCTGAAGGTGAGAAAATCCCACTGCCACTGCCCCTCTGTCTGCTCTGGGACTTCACGGTGACCAGGTGTCAGAGCCACCGAGAGCACGAGGGAAACGGCCCCATCTTCCACCTGGCCAGAAAGTTACAGTTCAAGAGGTAAGAAAACAAAGAAGAATAAACACGTGGGGAAGGGATGGCGCTAGGAATGTCTCCTCACACGTCACGGGAAGGAAGAAGGCACACTTTGTGCTCCTCAATGAATATAGATCATAATTCCCCTCCTAAAATGCACAGCACACTTCAAGCAGACATCAGGTGTTTGGACGCACGCTTTGTAAAGCCTCTGCAAATCGTCCCTCTTTGCCATTTGTTCCCATTTTCTAGCAAATGTACAGCACTGAGATGAAAGAGCACACACTGGAGATAGAAGCACGTGCATCCCAAAGGGCAGAGACCAGCAAGTGCTTTTAAAGACATAGCTTTGGAAAAAAACACATCTACAAAGCCTAAAACTAAGAGATATTGATTTCTCAGCTTTGGGGTCATATCCAGGAGCGGATGGAAGGGCAGAGAGCAGTGAAGACTCAGGACATGTAACATCTGCTGCTCAGGGATGGGAAGGTGTCTTCATTTGATGGAAGGTCCTTGAGAGTCACAGCCCTATCAGCAACTGAACACAACCACCGATCTGTTTCAGACTTTCAAAAACTAACAGATGCCAAGTAACACAAAAATTCAGCCACCTGCTTACAGTCAGTGAGTGCGAGCACCGAGCACGCAGGAGTTACACACCCAGTAGTGAGAAATCAGGGCGACTCTGAATCAATCCCAACAGACCCACTCCCACTCTGGAGCACTGGGTTCAGCAGCAGGTGAACACGGGAAGACGTCACGCTTTGGCAAGAACAGCTGACAGCCTCTGCATCCAAGGCCTGACAGGTACCCAGCCTGGCACCACAGCAGCACATACAACAAAAAGGCTGTTGGAAATCTCCTGCTCTGCCACGCCGGAATTCACCTCACCAGTCCCTCTGAGTCAAACAGTGACTCCTGGGGCCACATCTCTGCGCAGCTGCAGAGGCTCCCCTGTTTGGTTCTCACATCAAGCCACAACCTACCGACCTTCCCTGCAGCTCCACGTCACCCTGCCTGAGCTCCGGCCCTTCAACACCTCTCTGCTGAATCCACATCTCGCAAAGTCCTCTAGTGGGGGAAGGCTTGGCGTGGGGCAGGCTGGAGCTGTCAGCTGCTGTCACCCAGCACATCTCCGCCGCTCTGCATCCCGGCACTGCGTGGTTTTATTCCTCACCGACCTTCAGCACCGATCGCCGATCTGCTGCCGACTCCTCAGGCTGGTTTCTGGGGGCTGCCATCCCATCAGTTCCCTCACGGAAACAAAAACCCCACAGAAAACACGTTATCCTTGCCCTCGTTCTTCGTTCCCCTCTCTCTCCAGTGCTCCCTCTGCCCTGCGAGGGCTCTGGGATGGAGAGCCACCACCTATCCTGAAAACACACTGCAGCCAGCATGAAGGCGAGGAGAAAAAGCAGAGGGAGAACCTTGAAGGGGGGCTGTGGGGGCACCAGGCTCAGCCCTTCGCTCAGCCCCCCCCCCCTCCAAGCCCCGTAGGGCCCCACAGAAACACAGCAAGCACCGGAACCCGGCATGGGGATGGGGGGAACGGAAGGGGGGGGGCAACGGGGCAGAGGGGAAACGGAGGACAAAGTGGGAACTCGGGGAGGGCTAAGGGGTCGGGGGAGGGGTGCAGCGGGGGGCACGAAGCGGTTATTGAGGGGGGACACAAAGGGGTTTAATGGAGAGGGAGGACACGGGGACCTGCCGGGGGGGCGAGGGGACGCCGCGGGAGGGGAGGGGACGCAGCACGGCGGGCAGCGGCATCGGAGCGGAGCGCTGCGCGACGAGGCCCGGCCGTGGGTCGGTACCTGAGGCGCTGCCCGGCTCCGCCGTCCGGGAGCTGAGGCCCGGGCCCAGAGCTACGCGCCGGACCCGGGCCCGGCCCCTGCCCGGCCCGCGGGCTCCGAGCTCCGGGTCGGGGACCGGGACCCGCCAGCGCCGCGTCCCCCAGCCCGGGCCGGGGCCCGACGGGAGCAGCGAGTCCGCCGGCCGCCGCCTAGAGCGTCGCGCTGGGAGGACCCCGGGCGGGCGGGCACGCGGCCGCCAGGGGGCGCGAGAGGTTCGCGGCGCCAAGACTGTGTGGGCGGGGCTGGAGGGAGGGGCGGGGTCACGTGAAGGGCGGGGTCACGTGGAGAGGCGGGGCCGAGAGAGCCGGGGTACGGTGGGGAGCGGGGGGCGCTATGGAGGGGGTCAACAGCAAAAAAGGGCTCCCCCACCAAAGCCCCGATCCCTGGCGGGCCCCCCCCCGCCCCCCCCCGCGGGGATGGGGGGGGCTCAGAGGGGCCAGGAGCTGCGTGGACGTGTCGGTGGGGCTGGAGAAGTCGCTGCCCTCCCAGCACGCGCAGCCGGCGCTCGGGGGGCCCTGCGGTGCCCCCAGAACAGCGACTCCAGCCGCTGCCTCCTGCGCGACCCCCAGCCTGGCGGCCCGCCGTCTCCTTATGTGGACTTTACTCATCCCCCCCCCCCCCCCCCCCTCCCCGTGCAGCCGTGCTGAAGGTTGCGCGGCCCTGGGGAGCAAAGTCCTCGCCAGCGACCGAGCGGAGCGGAGCTGTGGCACTGAGGGCCCCCGGAGCGGGGCTAGGCCCTGCGGGGTCCCTGGGAGTCGCCACTGTGCGGCCGCACGGTGGGTGTCGGGGGGTGTGGGTGGGGGACCCCTGTAACCCCACACGCACGCTCCTCCTTCCCCAGCCCGGGGGATTTTTTGAGAAATCTCAAAAATCGGGGATATAAAACACGACAGGGCGCTGCAGGAACCGGAGCGCTGCCCCAGCCCAGCTCGTACTCCGATTCCTGCCCCGATGTCATCGCCGAAGCCGCACTCAGTGGTTTTGAGAGGAAAGTAGGACATCCCGGCTGCCCTCCGGCTGAGCGCCCGGTGAGATCCCCGCGGAGGTTCCCCACCTCTCCGCTGGGGCGTAATGACACCTCCTCTCTTTTCATGAAGCTTCAGCTCTTTCTGATGTAGGGAGGAAAAATACATCGCGGCGGATCATAAAAGCCATCCAAACGCCGACCTGGGGCGAAGCGGGGCGTGGATGCTCGGAAAATGAGAGGTGGCAAGAGAACGCGATGCGATGGGAGCGCGTTCCCTGCAGGGTTAACCCTCCGCCAGCCCCTGCCCGTCCCCTCCCCGCTCCCTGCCATTGGCTGCCGCTGTGGGTTTAGGCTAACGAGCCTCTAATTGGGACCCCGGCTGACACGGCTCCAGTTTCCTGGGCAGGCAGATCGAAACAACAAAAAAAAGAAAAGAAAAAAAGAAAAAGGAAAGAAAGGAGGGGAAAAAAAACACAAATAACAACAACAAAGCAAAGGGAACGCTGCCCCGGCTGCGTTTGGATATTGGATGTTTTCCTTTCGTTTTGCGAAGTCCGCTCGGCTCATTGCTCCGACCCGACGGGACGGGACGGCACCGGGCAGGTAGGGGGGGTCCCGCGGGGCTGGGCGGGAGCTCATCAACGGGGGGAAGCGGATGGTTTCCACGTCCGGGAATTGTTGCGGGGGAAAAGGAAGGGTGGAAAGCGAGGGAGAGGGAGGTCGGTCGGTTCTTTGCGGGGAGGAATCGGCGGTGGGAGGGCGGCTCCAGGGGCCTTTGTCTTCGGGAAAAGCGTCCTCGGACGGCGACGTCCTTCGGGAACCCCCCGCCCACTCTCCGGCTGCAGGTGCGGGGCGGACGGCGGCCCCGGGAGACGCGGCTCCGGATGGCCGTTGTGCCGCGGGGTTCCTCCTCCGCGCGCTGCGAACGGGGCGGTGCGGGGTCGGCCGTGACGGCGCGGAGCGGTGCTGGGGCTGCGCTCGGCACCGCGTTACGGCGGGGTAATGGGTCGGTACTGCTCCGCAATGCCCCGTTATGGCACCGGCCTGTCCCCCTGCCGGCAAACAAGCCGCCGTGCCTCGCCGTTCCCTCCGCTCCCTTGGGTGGCAGAATGGTATGCTGAGCCCCCCCCAACCTGCAGCTCTGCGGGGCTCCGATGGCCCTGGAGGTTTCTGTGCTGTGACGCCGAGCATCGGGCTGCTCTGCCAGCTCGGCCCCGCCGTGCTGCAGGACGAGCTGCTCCGGCTCACCCTGCCAAACGTCAGCTTATCTCACCCCCGGAGAGATGCATCTTTATGGCTCTGCATCTTTATTTCCATGTACATTCGCTGCAGCTGTGTTGACGGGAGCTGAAGCACAAACAGGTTATCCCGTGGGTGAGGTGTGCATACAGAGCCCCTGGGAGCTGCCGGTGTTTGGGGTGTTGGAAGGGGAATCTGGTCCTTTTGGCAATGGCCAGCTTTGTGTTTCCTTGGGGCCGTGGAGCTGTTTGGTGCTCTGGGAAAATGGGGTGGAAGTGCCTGGAAGTGGGGCTGCCGCCGTGGGGACGCAGCCTCAGGATCCCAACAGCTGCAGCAGGCACAGATCAGCTGCACTGTGTTAATGGTGTGATCTCCTCAGGGAGAGGTTCAGGAGCCCCATGCGCTCCCACAACAGGATGGAGACGGGCTGATCCCAGGGAACTGAAGGGGATTAAAATTCTTGTGTATTTCAGGGAGCTGTGATCCCTTCTCGAAGGCAGGGGCCTCTTGTGGGGTCACTGGGGCAGGCGTTGCCAGTAGTTGCTGGGATGGCTATTTGCAGCCCCATGAACAGCAAAAAGCTCCGAACAGGCAGGGCTGAATGGCAGGGACATCAGCCGTCCTTTGGAGCAGGGCTGAACGGTGGCAATTTGGAGAAAGCCCCGGGTTGAGGGGCTCCAAAAGCCCAAGGGCACTCCATGTGGTGGCACTCGGTTCCTTCTGGAGGGACAGCAGCTTCGTGTGAGAAGCAGCTTCCCAGCTCTGTGCTGAGAGCATCCCGCATCCCTCCGCAGGGAAGGGTGATGTGGGACCGCCTGGAGGCAGAGAGGAGGGCAGAGGGGATGGGAGCAGAGGAGACGGACCTGTTGGGGCTGCCCAGCTTCTTAGCATGGGAGGCGCGTATGGCTGTCACAGTCTGCAGCTAATTACAGGGACCTGTCTGCAGCCCAGACGGCTGCCAGCCATCGTAATCACATCAAACTGGGATGGGCTGGGCTCTCTTGCACGGCCCCATTGATTCACAGCCCTGTCCCCAGCCTTACCCCAGCGGGCTCCTGCCGGCCAGCCTTGCATGGGTAGGGCCCAGTTTGCTGCGTCCGTGGGGCACCCTGGGGATCCGACAACAGCAGATCAGCCGTGCAGTTTGGGATCTTAGCAAACAGAGCAAAGCTTGGGAATACCATCTATGTCCCATGGGAGGGATGCATTACCCACAGGGATTGAAGGCAGCAGCAGGGTTGGCACCCCACACCCACGGGTGTTTCAATTCAGCACCCCAGGGTCACAGCAGCTCCATCCCAGCTGTGGAGCTGCAGCCGTTTGCTGATCCAACACCACTGGTGGTCCTTCATCAAGCTGGCACCTCTGTGGTCTGTGAATGCACAGAACTGTGTCAGGCGTGTTCCTCCAAGCAGCAATCTGTAGCCGTTCTCAGCATGCAGCCGGCCTGCCTGAACGCTGGCAAGGACGGGCAGAGCCCAGGGAGTAAGCCGCCCTTCTGCTTTATCCCATTGACTGCCCATCTGTCGCATTAATCATTGACCCCGATGCACGGCTGGGAATCCTGAGCTCAGAGCCGTGCACGTACATCCTGGTGCCCTGAGCCGCGGGATGCTCTGCTGCTGGGGCAGAGCTGCGGAACGGCCTGGAGCCTCCGAGCGCTGAGGTTACCGGCCTCCGTGCCCACAGCTCTCCGCCCTTTCCTGGGGAGCCATTTTGCGGGGGGTGTCAGCCCTCGGGCAGCTCTTGGGCGGTGCCAGCACAGTGCAGAGGTTCCCACAGGGAAAGCCCTGGGCTGCTGTGCGGGGAGCCCCAGGAGCCGCCGCATCGCTTTGTTTTGAAAAGCCGAGGCAGGAAGGAAGCGAGCGGTGACAAACGCTGCGTGGGGAAGGGACGGGACGGGTTCGCACCGCAGAGCCCTGAGCCAGGCACGCCGGGCGAGCAGGAACAGCGGCTCGGGGCAGAACAATAGCAGCCCGGGGGGAATAAATTATTTTCCACCGAATTGGGCGAGACCTCGGTCTCCTCCCACTGCTCCGCTCAGGGACAGGCCACTAACCCCGGGCTCAGCCGTGCTGGGAAAGGGCTGGCGGCAGCTGCGGGACATCTCCCACTGTGGATGAGCAAACATCAAAGTGCGGCTCTCCCGGAGCTGCCCCAGGGTGAGCACAAAAGCCCGCGGTCCAACCTCCCCTCCCCACAAGCCTCCCGACATCCTTTCCCAGCGCTCCACGTCCGGCAGGCAAAGCCCCCGCCGCAGGGCTTATTTGTAAACCCGGAGATCGCTGCAGAGACTCAGCGAAGAGCCTCGATGTCCCCGCCGCGCTGACCCTGCAGGATGACGCCTCCTGGGGACAGACTTCTCCGCGCCGTGCCGAGGTTCTCCCGCAGCTCCGCTCTTCTCTCCGCAGCTCATGTCCCGGCCGAGTCCCGCATGGCCGCAGCGAGACGAACCCCCCCCGTGCGGCACCGCCACTGCGCTCCCCCCGGCCTCTTCCGACAGCGACTCCGGCTGTGCCCTGGAAGAATACCCGGAGCCCCCCGCAGAGCCCGCGGCTCCCGAGGTGAGCAGCTCCGACCCCGAGGGGCAGACGCGCCTTTAGCTGAAGCGACGCCGCTTCATCCCCTCGGTCACCCGTCTGTGTTTCCCCAAGGTCCCCGCCTGCTTCGAGAGCCGCCCCACGGATCAACCCCGTCCTGCCGGCCGGAGCCTGCTCCGTGTCAGAGCCCTCCTGCAGCAGCTGCCGCCTCAAGACTGCGATGTAAGAAACGCACGCGTTTGCTCGATGCCGCCCTCCCCCCGCTCCGCTGCCGCGGGTCCTTCACCTCCACCTCCCGCGCAGGAGCGGTACTGCCCCGACCTCGAGGAGGAGGAGAGGAAGCAGCTCAGGGCGTTCAGCGCCCGCCGCCGACGGGACGCGCTGGGCCAGGGGGTGGCGGTGCCGGTGCCGGGCTCCCGCCACGGCTGTCCGTGCAGGAAGGTAAGGCCGCTCCCCGACGGACAGCGCGGAGCCGCCCCCGAAACGCAGCCTCACCGCGACCCCGTGCTTTGCAGTGCGGCAGGAGGCTGAGCAAAGGAGACCCCGGGATTGCGGCGTCGCGGCTGGGAGAGCAGCTCTGGCACCCGCCCTGCTTCTGCTGCCACGTCTGCCACCAGCCCCTGGTGGACCTCATCTACTTCCAGCAGGATGGAAGGATCTACTGCGGTCGGCACCACGCCGAGCTCTTTCGGCCTCGCTGTGCCTCCTGCGACCAGGTGGGCACTGGGCGATGAGGTGCTTTGGGCTCCGTTGTGCTGCCATTAGGTGCTCCTGTGCTCTGCTGGCAGCTGCAAACGCAGCAGGACGAGCCAGAGGAGCTCCCTTCCTGCACCCCAGGGATCCCCATGCCTGCTCCAAAGCACAGAAAAGCATGTTCTGGGTGGTGTATTCTGTGGCTGGATGCTTATGGGATGGTTTGTTTGTTCCCTTCCAGCTGATCTTCTTGGAAGAGTGCATCGAGGCTGAGGGCCGGCGCTGGCACCCGGAGCATTTCTGCTGCCTGGAGTGCGACACACCACTGTGCGGGCAGCGCTACGTGATGCGGAGCGGCCAGCCCTGCTGCCGCAGCTGCTTCGACAGCCTCTTTGCCGAGCCGTGCCAGGCCTGCGGGGAGCCCATCGGTACGGCCGTGCTGCCAGGGGGACAGGTGGGCTGTGGGAGGCCCCCCCTTAACCTGTGATCCCCTCGTAGGTGTCGACAGCGAAGAGGCCACACACCAGGGTCTGCACTGGCACGCCTGCGCCGCCTGCTTCTGCTGCAGTCTCTGCCGAAAGCCGCTGCGTGGGCAGCCCCTCACCGCCCGCTGCGGGCGGCTATTCTGCTCCGAGAGCTGCAGTCTGGGCCGGGATGCGTCCTCTGCTGCCTCCACCACCTCCGATTCCTCTGACTCGGCCTTTGTCTCGGCACCGTCCCCTGACTCGACGCCCGTCTCCAGAGCCAGCCACGCCACCAGGGCTGGGAGCACCGCGGCAGCTGGGGGCTGCAGACAGCGGGTGGAAGGGGCTGGTAGGGGACCTGAGTGCTCCACTTGCAAGGGATTGGGAGGGAAATGGAAGCAAATCCAGGCTCTGGGTACTTCACCGGGGGTACAGCACGTGTGTGCAGCCCAACTCAGGGCTGTAGCAGCAGCTGTGGGCTCCCAGCCCACATCCCACATCTGAGGTTTGGTTGGGACAACCCTGTTTTGCATCCTGGGACAACCCCTGCTGCACAGGCAACTGCAGCAAGGCAGGCTCAGCCTTCTTCTCCCACACCCTTCATTGCTTTTTTTCTTCCAGAGGTGCTACCAGATCAGGCCTCTACACATCCTGCGTTCAGGAGCCCAGAGGACCACGGAGCAGCTGTGGAGAGGAGCAAGGATTCTGTGTGCACAGGGATGCTGGGAGCATCAACCAGCCACCCCTCCAACGTTCAGCCCTGCACAGAAGGTCACTGCAGGCTTCTGGGAGGTCCTGAATGCCGAATACTGCCAGGGGATGGAAACCCACACTTCCAAGTGGGTCAGCCCCCTGCCCAACCCGGCCTACATCTGGAGGACATTGACCCACAGGATATCATGGAAGAGGACGATTCCTGGTGTCCCACCTGCTCTTCATCCTCAGACTCTGACTCGGAAGAGGAGGGTTTCTTCTTTGGGAAACCCATCCCCAAGCCCGGGATGAGCTCTGTGGGCAGGGAGCCCCAGCGCCTGGGGCGGGCAGGGCGCAGGATGGCGAAGCTGCGTGGCAGCAGCAAGCACTGCAGCGTGTCCTAGTGCAGGGACGCTCGGTAAGCAGGGGGCCCCAGGCGCTGCAGAGGCTGTGGGGAAGGTGGCACTTTGCGTGGTATTGAAGCAGAGGGGCAGCGGCTGGGGGCCAAATGCACGGGCGGAGGGGGAGAGAGGGGGAGAGTGCCTTGTATGGCGCTGCCATCCTGCCAGCACTTGCAGTGGTCTCAATGCATTGCAAAGACTTTTTAGACACAGCCCAAGGCGGAGGTGGTGGGGGGGAGGGAGAAGCTGCTGGGATCTTTGACGAGCAGCTGCTGGCAAAGCACGGCCTGCAATGCCTGCTGGCCTCTCCCTCAATTAGGAACAGGTAAAGCGAGCAGAGAGCAGAGAACCAGCAGCCCGCACTGGGGTATGGTCTGACTGCTGTCTCAGGTAAACCCAAGGCCCCAGAGAGCAGCTGTGCTCTGGGAGGGCAGCCAAGGACTTAGGACACGGGCAGACACCTGCATGGCACCTGCTGCAGGGACTCCTGCCCAGACTGGCCAGGAGAGATCTGGCCACCAGGGTCAGATCCAGATGCCAGGTGAGGATCCCTCACTTACAGAGATAGCTTGGAGGACCAGAGCTGATGCTGCCCCGCATGGGGCTGTGTCCCCTGCCACTGCAGGGAGGAGACCAGTGGGGCAGCTCTGCCACCATGATGGACAATGCTCCAACAAAGCTCAGCCAAGGCCTGAATACAGAAAAGCCAGCCACACCTGGCCTGTTTCTCTCCAGCCTGGGTTTGCAGCAGCATTAACTGTGGTGCTGGAGAACCATTTTTGAGGGCAGCTGAGGGGCCCCAGGGAAGGACTGGGCTGGGGTGTCACCGTGGAACCCCTCCCTGTGCCCACTGCCCCAGCAGAACAGGAACGGAGCAATAACAGTGCAAAAATAACTCCTTTTTATTTATGAAGACAAGAACAAACCACAAATTGTAAGAGAACGTCCATTAAAAACAAGAACAGAATAAAGAGAGCTCCCCCCTCCCTCCAATAAAACCATCTCCTGTCTCTAAAATATAGGCCTACGTATGAATCCTATCTTGCCCACACACCCCAGTTACTGCCTACAACATCAGCCCCAACCTCCCTCCAAACTCAGCCCCCTCCAGCCAACACCCAACCCCCCAAGAGGGCCCACGGCAGCACATCCCTGCAGTTCCAGTGCAGGCTGTGCCAGCACAGCCCCACAGCTCCCTGCTCAGCAGCTGGGGTGCGTGGCATCGTAGTGCTGGATGAAGTCCTGCAGCTCCTTGAGGAGTTGGTTGCGGAGCTCGCTCAGGTTGGCTCTCAGCGCCTTCATCAGCAGTGCCTCCATGGAGGGCTCCTTCTGCAGCAGCATCGCGGACACCAGGGCAAATTGGAGGCAGAAGTCGTGGTAGCCCTGCGGGGAGCGGCGTGGTTCAGCACGGGGCAGCCCAGAACCTCCCCGCAAGCGGCACAAAGTGGTTCTTTCTTCCCTCAGAGCATCCCAGAGGCAGCAGCCCCTCCCCGCAGCGCTGTGCTGAGCTGCCCCACGGCTCGCCGTCACCCGGCTCTGCTCCTTTCCCCCACAGAATCACAGAATTGTAGGGGTTGGAAGGGACCTCCAGAGCTCATCGAGTCCAACCCCTTGCCAAAGCAGTTCCCTACAGCAGGTCGCACAGGTCGGCATCCAGGCAGGTCTTGAACATCTCCAGAGCAGGAGACTCCACCACCTCCCTGGGCAGCCTGTTCCAGTGCTCCGTCACCTCACTGTACAGAAGTTCCTTCGCACATTGGTGCAGAACTTCCTATGCTGCAGTTTCCGGCCGTTTCCCCTTGTCCTGTCTCCACTTGCCACTGAAGAGTCTGTCCTCACCATTCTGCCCCCCACACCTTAAATATTTATAGACCTGGATCAGGTCCCCTCTCAGTCTTCTTTTCTTGAGGCTGATCAGACCCAGTTCACTCAGCCTTTCTTCATAAGAGATGCTCCAGGCCCTGCACCATCTTTATGGCCCTCTGCGGGACTCTTTCCAAGAGAGAACCCTGTGGGTTCTGAAGCTCCCAACGGCTCTCCTGCCCACAGCCGGTCCCGCTTGCCCTCGCCTGTGCCAGGACTCACCTGCTCGATGCTCTCCTTCTTGGTGAGGATGGCGGCGGAGCGCAGGTCCATGCCGGTGGGCGAATGTGCGGAGCGCGGGGGGCGGGGTAAGCCCTGGAAGCCTGCAGCCTGGGCGGTGGAAGAAGGGAGGTGCAGTTGGACACCTGACAGGGAGAAGGCCTGGGCAAGGGAACGGGTTGGGACCGGCAGCACCTTGGAACTGCGGGCTGGGGACCAGTCAGCCTGGGGGGAACCTTGTGGGACCCTGCCGCCTTCCCCCACGTGCACGAGGCGGCCCCTTGCTTCCCACTTCCACTGCAGCCCAGGAGCCTTGCCTTCAAGAGCCGAGGGCCCCGCTGGCTGATTTCCCTTCCCCACCAGGCCACAATTCGGCCTCCCTGCAGCACCCTGGTTTGCTTCAGTGCAGCTCGACTCCTGGCCTTGCTCATGCTGCAGCACGCTCTCAATCTCCACGTTCTTTTTTTGGCCTTTCTCCACACGGACTCCCATTTATCAGCCTCTCCTGAAGAGCCAGCACCAGGGCTGCTGTGGGCTCCGCATCCAAATAAAGCAAATCTTTACCCCCAGGATGTAATCCTGTGACTGGGGACGCCACAGAGGAGCTCCCCCCAAGGCTCCTGGCCTAGATTAATGCTCCTGGGCCTTCCTGCACGTGCTTCCCAGAGACATGCGGGCACCATTCTGGCACAGTGCACAGGGCAGGGCTGCGCACGTACCAGCTCTGTCCAAGCCCAAGGAGGCTGCCCGGTCCTGGCTGGTGCTGCTGCCTCAGTGCAGACACTGGAGCTGGCTGTGCTGGGCTGTGTGCTGCTGGGCTCTGCAGTAACTTCCAGCGGGATCTGCGAGTGTTCAGATTGGTGAAGGCCGCAAAGAAGCGGTGGGAAGGCGCCCAGGGGATGAAAACAGAGGCTGTGTGAGAACAGTGGGAGCCAGCACTGCAAGCTAATGCTGCTGCCTTCAGGAAGGGAAACCTCAGGCACTCTTCTCCCGGGAGGAAACAGCACAGAGTAGTGCAGCCACAGGCTCAAACCCACCCCATCCTGGGCAGCCACCACCTCTGCTTCACCAGCAACACGTGGCAGACGCTGCCATGCTTGAGAGGGCAGGCAGAGCTCAGCGTGTGCCTCCAAGATGGGGCCAGCACTGACAGCCTCAGCAGGCTGCAGAGATAATGGACTGTGCGGATACAGCTCAGCACTTCCACTAGCCTCAGGGGCGCTTTGGCTGCGTGGCTTTATCAGTGCAAAGCACTACGGCTGCGTTTCAGAGTCCACACAGAGGCATTTGGATACAGCCCAGGCAAACGGAAGAATGAGGTTCATGGAGGGGACCGCAAAATCCCACCTCCCTGGTGGCACGACATTTAGGCAGAAAGAGGAGACAGATGCATGAGCGCGTACCAGCTCCAAGCCTTCCTCCTCGCTGGTGCTGGATGTCTCCGAGGAGACTGGCTCCAACTCCAGGGCACAGAGCTGCTCGTTGTCTGCAGCTCCCTCTCCTCCTTCGGGCTCAACCTGCAGACACGCAATAGCATGAGGCAGGGATGAGCTGGGAGACAGGACAGGCAGAGTGCTGAAACCCAAAGGAAACTGGGGCATGCGCAGCCCAAGAGAAAAGTCAGGAAAACATCAGGCTGCTCCCACTTCTGTCCAAGAGACACCAAAGTGAAGAGTGAGAGAGAGAAGTGAGGTGTGACACAGGTGGAACGGATCCCCCGAGCTGGGCAGCTCCCGGGGTGAAAGTCTCTCCATCTGCACTCGGGAAAGAGGTGCACACGTACTGGCTTTGCTCCTGCTGCTGGCTCCTGCTCTGCTGCCTGGGGGTCAGTGCCCGGGCTCTTCTCTGGGCTCTTCTCTGCATGCCCGGGCTGTCGCGGCGCCTCGCTGCTCGCCACCAGCTGGCCCTGGGGGAAATCCTGCTGGTCAAGGCCATGGCAGCACCAAGGGATCCACGTGGCCGTGAAACTGGAGTCAGCACCGTGTACTTGGGGTACAAACCCACCTCACCCACCTGCTGCTGGCTTTGCAGACTGTTTCTGCAGGCAGCAGGTGACTGGGGAGCAGCGAGCTGCTCTCTGACCCCTGGCTGGCTCTCCGGGGAGCAGGACCGAGAGGGTTTGCAGGATGGATGGTAGCCTGCGGAAACACAACAGCACTTAATAAGCAAAGTGTCAACTCTCCCCATACAGACGCTGCTGGCTGCACACACCACAGAGGGGTCCTGGGTGGCAGCCAGCGCTGCAGCAGAACCAACCTTGGGAGCTGCGGGGAGAACGGCTGCAGTCTGCTGTCTCCTGCTGGATGGGCCGAAGGAGTCGGTAGCGTCTCCGGCGTGGGCCATAGTGGCGCCGAGGGAAGCAGTTGTCCCAGGAGGCTTCTTGCTCCCTGCAGGAGCAAAGGCAGCCCCAAGGGAAATTCAGGCTGGCGAGGATCTCTGGCGCAACCTCCCACCTTCAGCAGGGTCAGCTTCAACGCCACGCTGCCTGGAGCACTGTTTAACCCACTGCACCAGCCTGCTGCCCGCAGCCAATTGCTGTGCGCCACAGCTGAGCCAAGACCTGTTTGCACATGCAGCACAGCTCCCCCTCCACCCGAGACCCCAGAAGGGACCACCACTCCTCAGCCAAGCCACGCGAGCTGTGCTCAGCCCAGACCCGCAGCAGGATGTATAAGACAACCCCTTTCCAGTCACTGCCCCAGCCTCACTGCAGGCACCCACCATGGGAATCCAGCAGGACGCTGCTCCTGGCTGAGGAACTCAGGCTGGGCCAAGAAGTCCCGGTGACGCAGCTGTGGTATCTGAGGAGAGCAGTGGTTTACACACTGAGCAAGTAAGGAGACAGCCCAGCTGGCATGAGGGCAGCCCATCCCAAGTGTCACGGCCACCGCCATTCCTCCCCAGCCCGCCTCCCTCACCGGCTGTAAGTCCATGACAAACATTACTTTATGGCTCTGCTGGTCCTCTCTGTACATCCAGGGAGGTGGTGGCACATCACGGTTCTGGGAGGACCGTATCCAATTCTCCTCATTCTGGAGGATATCAGCAGGGCCAGGGAAAGGCCTGGGCTGCCTGGCACCGGGCTGCCAAAGCAAACCGCCGCAGGTGAGGCCAGCAGCTCATTTGGAGCAGCAATGCACCCTGCAGGCTTCCAGGGAGATACTGCCTGTGCTCTGTGCTCCCCCTTCCAGTTCTCCTCTTCCCAATGGAATCCCACCCTTTGGACAACCCAAATTTGAAGGAGAACCCCAACAGCTCTGCCCACACCCCATCTCTTACCAGATGCATTCTTCCCCTGGCTCTCCAGTGCTGCTGCTCCCACAGAGGATCGCACCAGTCATCCTGGGGGCTACGAGCACGTGGAGGCAGCGGCCCAGCCTGACGCGGATAGGGCTGCAGAGACACAGGGAGAGGAAAGCGGCATGAGAGACTCCACGCTGCTGCAGCCTCCCCCTCCTCTACCACGAGGATGTCATGCAGGGATGGGGAGCCCAAAACCCTCCCACCTGTAGTCACAGACAATTCCCGGCCTTCCCAACTCGCTCCTGCACCACAGAGATGCTCTCCAAGCTACTCTGCATCCCAAGCAATGGAGCAGTGGGTGCCCACCCTCGCTGCCCCACTCCCGAGTCCCACACAGCTCCTGTGCTCCCAGCCACAACCTCAGCTCCACCTACCCCCCAGGGAAAGGTCCAGGGCCCCCTCCTGCACCGCTGCCTCGAGGACATCTTGCCAAAGCGTTGCTTCAGCCCTGATCCCTGCACAGAGGTCCTCAGCGAGTCCTCACTGGGCTGTACAGAAAGAGGTGTGGGTAAGTACATCTTGCAGGATGGGCATGACGTCTGTTTGGGGTCAGTTTTGGGGTCAGCTTTCCCAGTGGTGCCACCCACAGCTGTCCCTGCTCCACTGAGCTCCAAGCACTTGGACCCCCTGAAGCACAACACGGTACTGCCAGCAGTGAAGGCAGTGCAGAACTGCCCCAGCCCTGTTGTCCCCCAGCCCTGGAGGCGACGAGGCTCCCCGCAGTGCTGGTGCTGTTCCCTCACACCGCACACGTCTGCTGCCGGGTCTCCCCACCCATCCCAGATCTCCACCTGCTCACAGCGATGCTTCCACTGCCCAGTGCACCCTGCACAGGTCACAGCGCCCAGCAGCACCATCCCACTATTGTTCCTGCTGTGTTGGCTCACAGCACCAGGGCACTTCACAGACTCCCCCCCCAGCGGCCGCAGGGCTCAGTGCTCATTGCACAGTACAGCAGCAGGGCAAGCAGGGCTGGCTCCGCCCTGACATTGCCAATTGGCGGCAGCGGGCTCTTGGAGCAGCTGGGCATCCTCAGCATCCTGCCAGGAGCCACAGCACAGACACCCTTCCCTTGTCCCACCGAGCAGCAGGCACCGAGCTACTGGACAGCAAGGAGTGCAGTAGCAAGAAAATAAACACTTTTATCCCCAGATCGGGGTTTTACCTGGCATGTCAGTCCCAGGGGGCCTCGCAGGGGGCTCACCTGCTGGCAGAGACCAGCACCAGCGAGTGCAGTGGGGACGGAACCTCCTCCACACACAGGGCAGATCGCACCACCTCTGTTTGCTGAATGCAGCCCAACAGGAAGCAGCGGCTGTCAGCAGCTGGCTGTTAATCCCCCCCCAGCCAGCGACCTTTGTACCCCTCCTGCCCGCTTATTTGCTGCAAGGTGCCAAAGCCAAGCTGCAACACTGAGGTATAGGTTGAAAAATACAGGATATAAGGGCCCATAACACCGTTTGGTTTTGCTAACTCAAAAAGAATTTGCACATAGCATCACTTAGTTTAACTTTTGCTAACTCAGAAGGAATTGCTTAGTTTTACTTTTGCTAGCCCAAGCACAGACCCAAAAGGAAGCCTTCTCAAAGCAGAAAGGGTCCAATGAGATAACAATGGAAAGAGGAACAAACAGGATAAGAAACTGCAGAGGCACACAGGGTGGGCGAAGAGCTCAAAACTGGGACAAAGGTCGGAAGGACACGGCCAGGAATACTATGGACTTCATCCAGGAACGACCATCAGGTGGGGAGGAGGACATTGAACCTTCATCCAACGACCACCAGAGGAAGTTACTGCATATGCACCGGGGGGAGGGACAGTATGTAAATGAATTCCCAGAAAAGTAATGCATATGTCAATAGGTCTCAGGAAATACTGCTGAACATGTATGGCTTGGCTTACAAACGTACGAGATCCCACTCTCTGGTGTGCAAGCTAGGAGGAGCGCTCCCCCTTGAACCCAGTGTGTGGCACAGCGCTGGAATAAAGGCGTATCTGCTCTTATAACCCCATGTGGGTTAGAGAGTTTGATTCCACAAATCAGTTTGGCACCCCAGAGGAGACCAGCTCTGTTCAGCTGCAGGAGTGGTTGAGGAGGGGGACGCCTTTGTCGCGCCCTGAGAATTCTTGGAGGGACTCTCCCTGCTTCTCTGATCACTGCAGGACAGACAAGGACCGTCTGGAAGCGGGGCAGGTACGTTTAAAGGAAGGCTCTGTTAGGCGTACGCAGGAGCAGGGGACTCTGTGAGATGGAGGGGGACGCCCCAGCAGGAGGGTTTACCCTGAGGGTGGACTGGTCCAGAGGTACAGGACGGGAAGATTACATGGGACAGGCATTTTGCAGCACTGTATCTGATTCTAGGGATGGTGGGTTTGAGCCCCACGTCTGGCTGGCACTTGTAAGCCAGGCTGGCGTTGGGCACTAGGAGTCATGGGTTCGTAGAAATCTGGAACTCACGTTAATTGCAGGGATTGTGGGTTTACGTCCCAGACCAGGTTAGCGAGGTACAGTGCTGATACAGCTGATACAGATACAGCTGCCCAATGGTAACCTACATCACTGAGCCACGGCCAGGAACTGCATTGATGATCTGCACTGTTGTTACTATCTGCTGCAAACATCCAGCGCTGTGTGTTCGAACAATGGCTACCGACACATCTGGGATATCCTCCTGAACATCCAAACTGAGACGGCACCTGAGCCGGCAAACCTCAGTGTCGGAGTGAACGTGCTGTGACTGAGATGTAGCTGAGCTACGGAGGGACAGCGGAGCCCTGGTCCTGTCCTCCCACCAGGGAAACGGCTGCAGGCGGATGAAGCAGGAGCTGTTAATTGTCTGTACAACTCCCTGTATGAATTATGTTTGATAAACTGGCAAAAAGCGGATCTGAATGGTTTTAGTGTAAATGTAAATGAACTTGTTGGAGTGGGATGAATATGGAACTTATATGTCATAAATTACGGGGAGGGACAGGAAGAAAGATGTATATTTCACAGAACAAATGTATGCTGTCCAGTTTATGCTATACTAAAGACATAAATCGAGGGTAATGGTGTTACTCGTGCCCAGAGTGTGGACAGGAGTGGGGGAACGAGTTCTGGGGATTGTTTAGGGGAAACATTAGGATAGAAGGAGCGATTTGTGGAAACATTAATAAACTAATCAAACAACAGAACAGCGCTATGGGAGGTCACAAGGGAAAGAAATACCTAAAAAGACACCTCTCGGGTGTATATTGGCACCTTGGAAGGATGTTGCAGGAGGGCCAGGGGGCACTTTGAATAAGAAAACCATGATAAAATACTGCAACCAGTGGTGGATGCTATACAAGTCAGAAGATGGGGAAAAGTGGCCCCTAAATGGGACCTTAAACTACAATACTATTTTGCAACTAATGCTGTTTCTAAGAAGGGAAGGCAAATGGGATGAGGTCGCATATGCAGACATGTTCTTTACCCTCCGAAACCTCCCAGAATGGCAAAAAGGATGTGGGATGGGGGCCCTGCAAGACCCTTCAGTGTTAGCATTAGAAAAAGAGCAACGAACAACAGGCAACAGGAAAATGAAGCGTCGCTGCTCAGCACGTAGCACAGGGCAGCAGTGCATCAGACTAACAAAAACTAGAACCCCTGATGAATTGTTTGGTCACTGTCAGGCTCCAGGGGTAAGAGGTCTTGGTATTGAACGGACAGAATATTCGGAGGAAGAAGAGGATTCTTCCCTCCCCGGAGCTCCCCCAGGTTCCCCTGTTGCTGCTTTCTAATTCGTGAAGCAAAGTGCTTTCTGAGCTCCCCAAAGGGAAGCAGGACCAGATGGGGCACGGATCTGGACAGGGCACCTGAGCGAGACGGCCTAAGAGCAAACCGAGAGCGGGCAGTAAAAGGAATGGAGAGCCACCCCCAGGACTGTCAGTTGGTCCGCCCTGTACGCTATAGAGCAAGGAGCAAGAGAGACTCCTCCGGAGTTTCTGGATAGGCTTAGAGGTACCACGAGGAAACACACATCCTTAGATCCAGGATCAGAAACAGGTATCCAGCAACTCACATCATTGTGTATTGACAGTCGGCAGGGGACGTGCGGCGGAAGCTGCAGAAAATGAGGGGTCTTGATGCACGAAACTTAGAAAGCTGCCCCGAGTTGGGCAGGCTGGATAAGCCATGGCTATGCCTCTCTCACCCCACCCGCCCTATCTAGGCTTAACAACACACAGACTTGCACTCCTGTCAAGAGCCTCAGCTGTGCCTGGAATCAGTGAAGGAAAAGGGAGAATAACACCTACAGCAAAGACACAGAAAGCACAAAAGCACGTCACAAAACCAAGGTCTTAAGGAATCAATCAAAGATTCTCTTCCATTTTCCTTGGCAAATCATACCTTTTCCATACCCATGTTTATTTCCTAATTTGCATAACTTGTGACTCAGTACTTTCTTGCTTATCACAGGAAGGCATGTGAGAAAAGGGGATCCAGTCAGGATGCTGAGGACATCTTCTGGGGTTCCTCTCAGCCGGCCTGAGACCTGCCCAGCACACAACCCCCGGATCCAGACCTGTGACCGCTGTGCCAGCAGGACAGGTTGTACAGCCTCACCCAACCTAACTCACCTCCCCTGGGACACTGATGAGGTACAGACTGTAACAGCTTGCTCAGAGCACGTTTAGAACATTGTCTGAGTGCAGCTGATAGGGGTCAGGGAAGTGTGCTGCAATCACTGCCTTCCCGCTGGTCACTTCGGAGCACGACTGCAGCCCCCCCCCATCTCCTAAGGGCTGCACACACCCAAAATGGCTCCTCTGCTCCAACTGGTCTCCAATAAACAGAAGCAGACAATTTCTTCTCCCCAGTCACTCTTTTTTTTTTAACCAACCCTTGTTTAAGGCGCAGCTTAATGCAGAGCCTGCAAACACTGCGCCGTGCCAGTCGCTCCATCAGCCCCACAACAGCCCTCACTGCTGCCTCATTCCCGCCTCTGGAGGCTCCCGCAGGGACGGTGGCTCAGGCAGAGAGCAAGCACACCTCCTGGGCACAGAGCCCACACCCCAGGCCGGGCCTCTGCCTCAATCCTTGGCTGCCCACGCTCTCCCACGATGCTCCCAGCTTTGTGCCAGGGGCATTTTGGGGAGCAGCATGCCCAGCAGCGCGGCCGCTCCGGCACAGCCTGAGGAGCCCAGAGGGAAGGCTGAGAGGAGTGTCTGGTGGCGGCGGTGGCCCCGGCAGGACAGCGCTCAGCACCGAGGGATGCTGCCCTCACCCCCAGCTACGCAGACGGCAGAAGCTGAGCACAGAGAGCTCCGCTCCTCGGGCAGGGCTGGCTCAGCCGCGCCGGGACAGCCGGGAAGCTGCAGTTCAGCGCTGCTGGGCTGGCCAACAGCTGCCGGGGACGACGGGCTGCCACAGCCGTCCGGGTAGGCTCACCTTCGAACACCGCAGCCGGCTCCATCTCCCGCTCGCGGCACCGCAAACCCCATCGGCTCAGCGCCGGGCTGCTCGGAAGCTTTGCCCGCGGCGCTGCTGCCGGCCCAGCGCCCCCTGCTGGTGCAGCCACGCACACGGCGCCTCCTCTCTGCCCGCGCTTCCATCGGAGCCGCGTTCCCGTTGCCTCAGCTCCGACAGCCAGACGTGCGGGTGCTCGGGGCAGGCGTCTCGCCCAGCCGCCTAACGAGACCTCTCACTTTCCTGCTGCTTAATGAACATCTGCTTTCTTTCACGCCTGAAAGCCGACGTGGGTACGGATGGTGGTTGGCAACCGGCAGCGATAGCAAGCTGGTCCAAACTGGTCTGTCCTGCAGTGCAAAACTCCCTCCGTGCTCCACAGAGTACAGCAGAGTTTGTGACCTTGTGGTAACGTGGGAGGGAGATAAGGGAGAGCAGGGAGACCAAGCTTGAGCTCCCCGGTGCCAAACACTAGCAAAGGAGGACATGAAAAGGAAAATTCCAAGTCTGGAGCAGGCTCAAACCTTAAAAGTTGCCACCTGAGCAGCGCTAACACTGTCAGGGCAGCTCGTGGCCCATTGGAGCCAGCTGCTGCCCAGCGCTGCTCCCACAGGGCAGATAACACGCAGCTTTCCAGCTGGTCGGTTAATTGCAGCCTCCAACAGCTATAAATCAATTAACTAACTGGGCGGATCAATTAGCTCTTTGCGATCTGGGAAAAGAATACAGCAGCACAGACAATACAAATGCATCCCCAGCCTCGGTGGCCACTGTGGCAGCACGTCACCTTGCGAGGGGAGCACCAGCAGCTACAGCAGCTCCCTGCCTGCTGTTACCTACCAGACCCACGTCCTCCTCCTCACCACCGAGGCATCCACAGACAGGAGGAGGATGAGGAGCTGCCAGGGACGTGGGGACAGTGCCACCTATTTGCAGTATTTACTCCTTGTGCAGCAAAGATCTAAGATGCAGCAGTTACACAATTCGTGGTGTAAAAGTCCAGGACCGCATTTTGCGGAGCTTAGCAAACAGGTGACTCTGCAAGGTATCCTGACATCTGCCTGCATGCAGACAACCACACAAACCCCTGCAGAACATCAGCAGGAAAAGCAGAAGTGACTGTCACTG